AAGAAAAAAAAAACTTCAGAAAACCGCTTCCTCCGCCTTAAATAAGCAGCCACGCCCTTTCCCATCTCCAAGATGTAGGGTGTATCTATTGAGTTTAAGAGCGAGATGATATCAAGGTGCTTTTATCAGATATTGTAGAAAAACATCAAAAATTCACGTACTTGTATTCCATGTTCGCTCTTTGCTACTTCGTCCACTATGGTAGAAAGGTAGCTATTTGCTAGCGTGTAGAATGGGAATTCGTTGCGATGGAAGAACCGAATGACTTCACGAAGGAGCAGCCGCACCGGTTTACAGTACTCCTCACGTGCCATGATCATCTCGGAAATCTCTTCGCCAAGAACCTAGAAATGTACGATTTCGATGAGCAGGTAAAATTATGGTTACAACAGTGTGCGATCTTGTTGATGCAGTGGTGAAGCTGGAGACAACAAAAAAAACAGGAAAAAAAAATGGGGGCTGTTGGTGAGGCGGGGGGAGGCAGTTTAGCAGCCTCTGACCAACCTTCGGCATGCGTATGTGTCAACCCATCTAGACAGCCTCTTCTCGAGTTGACAGGTTTTACCATGATGGCTTGACGAGCTTGCTCCAGCTTCACAAGAGTTCACAGGTTTCACCAGAGTGAGACTTGTAGCCAGAAGTAGTGAAGCAACGAAATGCAGAATGCCCCCCCCCCCCGGCAAACTGCGCCTGATAATTGCACAAAAACTATGGGACAACCAAATCAAATAGTTCATATCTGCTCTACAATCTAAACTGGAATCAAAAAAGTCCTATCGGCGCTTTCCGTTCGATCAAATCCAAACATGCTTGACTGAGTATAGAAACGTTGTGAGTGATGTCTGAAAAAAGATACGATTGCATCGTTCTTAAGAATCAATTATATAGGAACATTTAGCATAGGAGCAGCGAAAGCCACTTGCATTACCTTCTCAGGAGCCACTCTTATTAAAGACACGCTCTATATAGATTTGATGTTCAGACGCCTTCTTTGGACAAGGTAGTCCTGTCTGCGAGCATGGAGGATGTGCCTCTCACAGCATAAAATCGGTGGTAAGAGCATGAGCTGTTCGCAAACAAGGCGACGCCCGGCCCTTTGCGCAACGCAACACTCAACTTTCATTTCTAAAGGATCCTAGTGGTGTGGCGGTGCGCTGCTAGCTTTCCCTCTCCGACTGGTGAGTGTGGTGATAAGGGAAAGAGCTGATACCAACAACAAGTGAAACTCGCCTGATCATGCCCTTTCATCGCCTTATGTACACCTCGGCCTGCATAGGGTTCTATATGGGTTAGTTCGATAAGTCTGATTACTTTTTCGAGATTATACCGCATATGAGAAAAATGAACAAACCTCGACATGACATGACCAAACTCATTTTCGAGAAGAATTCGAATAGCCGTACGCATATTACAGTCGTTTTTGCGGACCAACATCTCCCGTAGAGAAACGGTAAACACAGAACTGCTGAGCGCTGTTACGTTGATGTCTATCAGTGCATCAGTACGTGAAGCATTTAACGCTCGTCGCACTGGAACCAACTACACGCCGGATCTCGTCTTGGTTCACGATCGTTTTGAAAACGCCTTGTCCGAGTATTTGGAAGGAATAGTGAGGTGAAGATTGTTTTTTTTTTGGAGTTTAATTAGAGGTTAAAATTAACCTTGGACTTTTAGTTCAGTTGAAGGCATTGAGCGCGATTGCTGGGGGCGGGCGGTTGTTGCCAGTGTAATTGGTGGAAAGATGTGGCAAACGCCCTCTCGCAACTTCCATCAATGACGCGGGCAACACCCTACACCCTCCAGCAATCCTACCCAAGTGTTTCAGGTGGTTGCAAGGTGTTCGTCACATATTCCCGTCTGCTCGAGAATATCTTCAGGCTTATCACAAGCTCCTGTTCATGGAAAGGGTAAGGTTTGGGTGTATTTTTGCACCTGCAATTGCTCACGGAATGCTGTTAAGCCAGAGGTCTACTGCGCCTTGGAGCAGGGTCCAACGGAAGCGGAATACATGACATGCTTCAAAGTTATTTGTGAGTGTCGGCTGAAGGAAACTGTTCTAAGAATGGTGAGCATGGTCAGATTGAAAAGTAAAGTTTTCCGAAGCATAATTAGTAATTGCCACAGATTCTCGGTGACCACATCACAATGCTGGACAATCAGGAAGCAATACGTCTCATTGAAGGCTTGACAAAGAGAGCAGTAGAAAACCGTGTGGCTGCGGGTTCGTTCACCTCTATTTTTGTGTAAAGGCGATATTTCGTTTCATATTTGCTATGGTCATGACATTCCAGTGTCCTTTGGGCGCACTTCGGCTTGGTGGGGCATGAGACGGTACCAGCGTTCAGACTTCGCGACGGTAGCACCTCTTGTCGCGCGATTCGACGATCGATGCGCATGCTTTCGACTGCATCGATCGCGCGACCGAAGCGCTGCCGTCGCGAAGTCTGAACGCTGCCTAAGCTAACTTGTACAGGCCACCTGCTATGACCTGTAACCCACTGTGACCAACGTAGCTCACTAGAACAATTTGGGTGCTCCACAGGAGTTTAGACTGAAGCGAAATTACTTGGCACAAATAAAAGAGTGCGGCGAAAGTGCAAAATGCGCCTTCAAGCCGAACAGCGCCGTTTTTTTAGTGGTGAAAAAGTTTGTACCTCCCCATTCCATGGTGGCTTGACCTCGTTGGGATTTCCTGGAGTAAGAGGACATGAACATCTTCAGACTAGTGAGCTTTTGAAATTATGCGATTAGCGACTTCATAATCGATGGCCCCTTCTGAACTACTTTCGAAACTACGTCGTTTAGCCCGAACTCTTTCACCCTTGAGTAGTCCTCATATGCCCTTGGCAGTGCTCAGTGATACTAGTGCACTTAAAAAATTTGTAATAAAGACTTCTTCAAGGCCAAATACGATCAGGGCATGCATTTCATGTGCATGTGCATGTCGATTCATAGAAAACTCCAGCGAGGACTCGTTTGATCGCTGGAGGGAAGTGGGTAGCACTTGGCCTGAAGAGCCCTCCCCCTCTATTTATCGACAGCCAAGCCCTTTCGAACTAGTGTTTCTTCCCCTCCTTCCCCGTTCAACCGTAGTTTTTTGGGTGGGGTTGGGTAAATAAGAAAATTTCTGGAGTCCCTGTGGAAAACTCGGAAAAAATGTAGGAAGTCGGGACGTTAGTAGGAAAGCGGGTAGGGTGGAGAGGAGGTCGTACAAAAGGAGAAAATTGGGAGTGAGTCTTATGCAAAGAATTTCTCTAGCGACAGTACGTCCAATGGGACCCCCTCCTCTCCACCCACCAAATACGATCCCCATCGAGGTTCTGCCCTGATCACTCTTCTCTTCCGTTTACCATTCGTCTATGACTACTGTAGCACATTTTCTGTGAACAATTTTTACAATTACAGATGCCCATCTTCCACTGATAACGTTATCCAATCCGGTTCAGCTGATTGATCGACTGTTCCAGCTTAGTGGGTATCGTTGGCAACCTGGGGTCGCTATGCCGTGAGTTTCTTTATCTCTGTTGCCATCGCTGTCTATGGAAACGTTCATGACACTTTATTTAAGAGATGAATTCAATTGTTTCGCGACGAAGAAGTATTACTGGAAAGCGTGGTATATTGTGATGATGTGGGCGTGTGCAGGCAAGTTCTCTATGCTAGTACACTTTCATAGATATAAAGACCAGTGTTTCAGGAAAGGTTGGAGATGAAATGGAGAAGATTTACAGTACTTATCCGCAGTTGCGATTGTTTATTCATATGGTCCTCGTGAAGTATGCGAATTTATCAAATGTGAACTAATCGACGGTTTTCTATCCCCTCTACGTTCAGGTCATTCCGATTTCCACTAGAGTTTGAAGGCAAACACCGGAGGAATGGGAGGAGGTTAGAAACGGAAACTGCTGAAAAGGAGAAAGAGGTTAGTCAGATATTCATTGTGGCTACTTTAGGCGTAAACAGTTTCAATGAGTGGCTAAGAAAGAAACACTGAATCCCAGTGGAGTGACAGCATTTTTCTTTGCAGGCTATCTTGGTAATGGAGTCATTTCTATCGAAATCGAGTATTGACGAAGAAAATTCGAAGTTGTTAGGAAACGATCTGTTACAATCAACCACGGTATGCTACCTCATCAGTTTGCTGGTGGATCGATTGCAAAAAAATCTCGAGATTGGCCAACAGCGTGTTCATACTTCGCTATCCGATTGCTTGGCTCGCGCGACTGCGACGAGGACCCCCCCGCAATGGTGAACCCCGCTAAGAACATACTTGATTGGGCGCGGGCATGCAATATATGAGCGCGGGCTCAAATTTGAAGTCTCTCTCCCGCGTCTTCGACGGCTTGGCGCTGGAGCACCCCCGCGGTAACGGGGCTCGATTCAGGCGTCGGATCGCGGAGTATGAACGCGCGCTTACGGAATTCCATACTAGTTTTACTGGTAGTGAGTTTTCAAACGGAAGAAACATGATGAAAATTATGTAGGGGCATGCCAAGACGACCACCTGAGACAGTGATTCGTAAATTGGAAGTGTTGGCAGTGGACTGTGGAATGGCATCGAGACTATGTGAATGCAGACAGCCTGATATGGTTGACCAACTCATCCGAAATGTTGGTCCATCGAAGGCTATGCCAGCTATTCAGGTGAGTCCGTATCTCTCTCATTATACGTAAAAGGGGAGGGGACAAAAAAAGGCGCTTCTTCCATTCGGAGTGTTCCTGAAACCTTTTTCACACGGAGTGACAGGGTAAGTGAGTACTTTACTTGTTCTTTGCCCAAGCTGGTGCTTGTCAAGGGGCTGTGACTGTGTCTGGCGCGGCATCAACCTGTTTTTCACCACTTGCTGTGATTCGCTCAAAAAGAGGCTGGCAGTGCGCCAAACCCAGCCCCTCCGTGACACTCCTCAGCGTCCGTAGACGACAAGGCTGTGAACAAGTGTGGCGGACAGGTTTCTCGATCCATATATATTCAGAGACCGTTGATCGACCTCCTGGATTCCTGGAGCTAATGGGTACAACTTTACTTGTAAGGGCGAGCAATGAAAAATGAATCATGGACCATAGCCTTGTCCCAAAGGCTGGACGGCTGGTGTCCTCACTACTTATAGCGACAGCCTCTGGGAACATGCACGCAAAAGGGTGGCACCTCGGATCTCTGATGAATCCCCAGCGGGGAAGTGTAGTTGTTCCATCGCATCAAAGTGGTGGGGGGTCGTACGTAGTCTTGAGAAAACTGAAAAATTGAGAAATTTTTTCCGCCTGTTGGCATTTCCCGGTTTCCCTGTTGCTTATGTGTTGTGTGCTCCCACGCCGCCTCCTTAGTTGGCGACGCCCTCAAGGTCCCATTAAAAAATAAAAAGAGTTGAAATGAGCCGTTCAGTAGTTGTTTACGACTCCCCCCCCAAGCAGCAGTTTTTTTTGGATGAATGACTGGAATTTTTCGGAAGAGTGGGTTAAGTTTTAGGAAAATTGGGAAAGTCAGACTGTGGTGGGCAAGTGGGAAACCAGAGAAGAAATCGGGGACGGGTCGTATCTCCCTCTCGATAGGAGGTGCCCTTAACACCAAGCCATAACCGTCGGGATTGAGGCTTACAGACGAACATCTTATTGTCAAAAATATTTCACCATGGGTCTTCCATGCACCTCACCAAGGTGTGCCAAGAAACATTTGATGATGTACTCCAGTAGTGAAGAGTCTCCTTCTCTATCCCCCTTACTGCTCCGGGTACTTATAATGATCCAGATTGTATCGAACTTGTTCTTTTTTCAGGAGTTGTTCGCAACAAATTCGTCTGCCATAGAAGCGATGCCAGCATCAACTTTGTGTCAATATCTACACTATGACCTACAACGCCGAAAGCTAGCCAAAGTCGACGAAGGCAGCGCCGTCCACATGGTGAGTGTTTTAAGGAGGTTTGAAGCTAGCTGGTCTTTCCGACGCGGT